GTACCCATAGTAAATAAACTGTGGAAACAGTTCTTCCCTTATGCAAAGGAACTCATTTTCTAAACATCTAATATCTAGGAAGTATTCTTTCTTACCTGTAATAAAGTAATACCAAAACATAAAAATAAACAAGTAGCTAAGGTGAAAGTGCTTTTTAGTTTTTAATCAGGATTATTCCTTATTAATTTCTATTCTTCCTATTTTAAGTATGAAGAAAAAGTAAGCCATCAGTCACCAGGAAAATGAATAATAGTTTGATTAAAATTGTGAAATTGTTGCTATTGGTTGAAATGAAGGTAGCAGCTAAAATTAATTACATATTAAGTAATCTTTAAGTTACAGAGAAAATACTTTACAGGCCTATTTTAAACAACTGAATTTATGTACTGGGCTAAATACTTAATTTCAATTGTTAAACCCATGCCTTTGAGTTCCATTTCCAAAACCACAGATGGCCTCCCTTCAAACAGTTCAGTTATCATGAGTCTATACAGCAAATAAATGTGAGAATTATTATAAGAGTATCCCAGAGAGATTTTAGGAGCCACAAAAAAAGAGAAATTTGTCTTTCAATAGGGAGCTATTAAGATACTAGAGAAAAATCAGCTCTATTTGAAAAATCATACATATACAATTAAATATAGATCAAATGTATACATATATCATATCCTCAAACTGATATCCCAAATATCCAATATACATCATATTCCTCATATATCATCTATATATGTATATTTCACATATATAATATAGGTTACATGAAGAAGCCAGTCATAAACTGTGTATATTATGTTAATCATTTTAGAAGGAAACTGATATTTTTCTTTTCTTTTTTTTTTTGATTTTTCCTTTCTTGATGGCATGTTTATTTCTTCTATTTTTCTCTCTTATGGCACAGCCTATGTAAAACAAGTAACTTTCGTCCTTACTTTAGTGCTTACTGTCAATAATTTTCTTAAGAATTGTAACAGACTTCTCCCTGTATTTTATTTCTCTAGCATAGGTATATTAAGAAAAAAATTAAATTCTCAATTACAGAGTTTTCCAAGAGATATTTACTGATTAATCATGGTCATCACAGTTATTACATATTACATGTAAGATAATAAAAATGGTGACCATCACTAGATTCCTGAACAAAGTGTTAAATAACTCTGGTGCTCTGCTTTTGATTACTGGTTTCCATTCAAATTGCAGTCAACTTTCAAGTATACATGTGCAGATTTTTTAAGTTTGTGGATCATCTATGGTAAATTTTTGGCACCATCATCAGGATGTTTTCAATGCCACTTTCTGCTACTACAATGAACATGAATAGGGAATATCAAGTAATATAGTGGGCAAGAGTTTGTAATGCTTCTAAATTAATAAAGGAAATACATTCCAAAAACCCATTTTTCTTCCAAGTATTGATTTTGTTAAGAAAAAAATTTTAGAGAATACTAAATATCCAGAAGTCAATAAATATTTGCCAAACTTCTACTATAGGCTAAAACGGTGTTATGTTTGAAAATAGATCTGAACAAAATTTTTAGCCTTCGCTGCAATATTTTGGCCTTGGGTAACCAAAGTAGAAAAAAAGATACCCAAGAAACTAATGAGATAAAAATATCTGTAATAATAGGTCTGAGTTTCTTGTTTATAGGATAAGTAATAGATGAAGAAAATATAGGAAGTTCAGCATATTTCCTAAAAACTGGATATCAAATTGTCAAGATGCTTTGCTCTAACCACAACTGTCAAACACTCAGACTATTTTGGAGAGCCACAGAATTCAAGAGTGCTTTTCTGCCATGTGAAAAATAGGTATGATTTTTCCCAAAAGGATAAATTTTAAATGATTTTTATTGAAAAAATTTTTGTCTTATTCTATTTAAACAAGATTTTATTTATATAATATTATGGATACAACCTTTCTGGCTAAGCAATTATAACTTTATTCAGATATTCCACACTTACCAGTTTGGGTATAAAAAATTTTAATTGCTTCACAAATGGGGAAATGAAAGAATATACCCAGCTCATAGCTTAAAAGTGTACATTCCAGAGCTGGTTCAAAAATTTTAAAACTCATGAACCTTGAGTTTTATATAGTTTTATCAAAGGGTACAAAAATACCTTTAGCACATACATTTTTTCATAATATATCCGTCTTGCATTTGGTTAGGAATTTTTTTTATTCCCTATTTAATGGATTTAAAAATTGGATATGCTCACAGTTGTCTACCAGATGGACAGGAAGACATCTTAAGTCTCAGTCTGGTGTCAATTTACTTTTAGGACTAATATACAATTTGAAAATATTATTATCAAGGAAACTATGTTGGTGGATCTTTGTGACCATTTTCAGCACTCTCTTATCTTTACATTTAAAAAAAAATTATCTGTGAAGCTAAAGCAATAACTTCTTATGAATAAGGCTTAATTTACTGGGGCTGAGGACAGAGTTAATTTTTCTGGTAGAGTAACAATTTATCACTCAACTATTCTACTCAGTTACTAGCAGAGGCTTATGTACTGAAATTCAATAGCAAATACACATAAAAAGGAACTTCATTTTCCAGTGCTAATAAAAACTGCTTCATGAATTTCAAAAGGCTTATTTTTTTTTACTCATCTAGGGGTACACGATCAATATCAAATGATCTGAAGTTAGCCAAAAAGACCTAATATTTAAGTAGGCAAGTCTTTAAACACACATTTTAAAGAAAAGAGTAAGTAATCAACAAAAACAATAATTATTTGCAATAATTATGTAAAATGAAAAGAATATAATTTAAGTTAAAGAGTATTATGGAGAAAAAGAATCACTTCACAAACTATGATCCCCATGACAGACAAATGTAAATACAAGCAGAGGAAAGAAGATAGTTAAACATTTGGCACCTGTTTTTTAAAATACTAAAGATAACTTTACTTCTATTTTATCTAATAAGTTTTGAAAGCTTCATTCCAATCACAGTTTTAGAATAATGGAACAAAACACTTCTGCTCCAATAATGTTCTGAGAAAAGTTAATTAAGGTTTCTGAAGTACCTAAGTTATTTTTTGAGAATACTTGCATGCCAGGAAAAAAGCCTACCCTTAACAAAACAAATATATTATGCATTTCAACTGTGGACTCAGAATGTTGTTAATCATTTCCTTCTCAATACACATGTCTACATATTGTGATATCCTACTATAGGGACTCAACAGAAACCACAGTCTTCTTTGGATTAGAATTAGTGATAATTTTAAAGACCATTTGGCCATTTGATATGCTTTTGTACAGATCTTTGAACAACGGTTTCCTCAAACGACAATGAGTTTAAAACCATAACAACATTATTTTTTTTATATCCAAAGCTGCTCTAATAACTTCATGGCTAGTTTCTTTCATTTATCTTTCTAAACCATTCTCCCACTTAGCATCTTGTCCCACCTTCTCTGGTGTCCAAGATGAACACTCAATGAAGACAGGTGTCCAAGATGTCCCAAATGAAGCTAAAGCAACATCAACAACTGGCCAATGATTTCTTAATGCAATTCAGATATGTGTGCATTATGGTCAAATTTCAATTATTTAGGAACTAGCTATTCATTTTGTGGATTACCCAGACTCTCTCATTTCTGTTTCTCCTGTTCATTTTCTCTTCAAAACTGATTGTACCACAGGGGAAAAAAAAAGTGGTAGTAGCTGACCCTATAAAGACTATCATTTGTTGCTAGCTTGAGTTTAATAGGCTATCCATTTGACAAATAAAAATTATTTCTTACTATTATTGGAAATTTTAATTCAGAGGTTATCTGGTATCCTGTGTATAGGATGTGACCTGAGGAAACATTCTAAGTTTAGCTTGTACAGTGTTAAAAAAGCACATGTAATCCAACATTTAAAAATCAGGTGTCATATGGAAAACTAGATTTGCAGCTTCCCCCCCATCTCCAAATGAAAGATATGGAAGTATCTGGCCAAAGTGCTGTTAGAAACTATGGAGTAGAGAGTAGTGGCCCTCCCCGTTCAATGAGACAAAGGCAGCAGTCCTCACTGTTTGTGGTTGTCTCTAACACCAAGGCCAAATGCCAGTAGCCACTGATCATCACGTTTGTCTTTTTTTTTTTTTTTTTAATTATTGAGAATATTTCTTTGGACTCATGACTACCAAAAGTGAAAAATGAAAAATATGCCTAAAGGTCCACGTGTTTCTAGAATACATCAAATAATGATATTACATGTTCAATATGGAAATAAAATATGTCTCTGTCAAAGACTACACCTTAAGATGCCATTATAAAACAAACCACAGAAAGACCTTAGGTGTGTTATAGCCTAGAAACCTATCAGAATTTTTGAGTGTTGGATCCATACTGTAACTCATATGATACATTTTTGTGACATTTAAAAGTACAGTGAAGCTTTCATATCACCATTTTTATGTTCATTTAATTAACCATATAGGTTATCTGAAAATTCTGACATATCATTTGTTGCCAGGTTTTAAGAATGTTTTACAGAGAAAAGAAACTTCTATTGACAAGTATTTACTAAATTTCTAAAATCAGAAACTGCAATTACTCTGAACTTTTTCTAAGGCCAGAGTTTATTAAAAGATTTTTTCTATTCTGACAAGTAAATCTAGTATCTAGATAAAATAATCTTACTAATATAGTGTTTGTGTTTTAAAGCTACTCCTGACATTAATATAAAGTAATAAACATGAAGCTATTTTAATATTGTTTATTTTTAAAATGTGAGTGAGAAATATTAAAGCATACCATTATGTTGTTTTTGTTTTTGGTATTAGTTAACATGGGTAACCCTTCAAAAACTCATCCCATTTAATAAATTAGAACATTCTGTATTTTTGAAACACTGTGATTTAATGTTGGCTAATTATTAATTTTATATGCCACTTATGAATTCTTTGCTCATAATTTTTCTAAATATTTTTGGTCTGTGCTACAGTAATGATTTTTAATCTCCCCCAGAGATAAAGCAAGTTTTCAATTTTGTTTACCATTCTCATTGCTATAGTTCATCAGCATGCCACAAAAGACAGTCAAGAGCTTCTCATTGGCGGGATCTGTTATACTGCACAGTGACCTTAAATGGTCAATTACAATCTGTGCACCACCTGCTTGGTCAACTGCACTTCTGCCCTCATCTGTAAAACAAAGAGTTAAATTAAAAATAAAAGAAAAAAGAAATGTACCTTACAATTTCAAATATAAAACATAACAATGTTATTCCTTATTTAGTGAGTTAAGTAGAAAATAAACCTAGGCAGGGCATTAAATATGTCTTTTTGGGAAAACAAAACAAGTAAACATGGAAATGGGGGTGGGATGGGGAAAAGAGACAATCACTTTTTCAGAGAAAAAAAATTATTCTCCCTGGCATCATATAGAAGCTTAAAGAACTCTGTGTCCTCGGAATGTATGACTAGCACATGTGAAAATTTTCACCTCCTCTTTCACAAATGACAATTCTGTGTAAGAGAACAAAACAGGAACTAATATTTTATAGAATTTTTTTTTCTCAGCTTGGAAGCCACTAAATATATCTTTCTATGAGTGTTTCTCAGTTATTATCAAAGAAAACCATCTAACTCACATAATAATTCTAGATCACAATAAGGGTCTTTTAAATGGCATTTCTATAGTCCATAAGCATGTTCCTTTTCTCAATTCTTGCTACCTTATGTTTCATTTTTCCTTATTCCCTCCATTCTAGAACACACCAATGTACCTCAACATTACAACCAGTGCTCAAAATGATGGTCAGACATACCTTCTGTCATGTATACATATATATTACATAGAACAGATGTCATTTAACTGTTGGAATACATAAAGAGCTTTAGAATACTTTTTAACCCCTGAAGGTAGGAAAGAGATGAAAGAAAGAGTATCTGTCTTTCTAAACCTGACTTTCCTCATATAAAAGAAACAGGAGAGCTATAAGTATAAGCCACATATGTGATTTAAATTTACTAGTAGCCACATGAAAAAAAGAAAAAGAAACAGGTAAAAAATTAATTTTAATAACCTATTTTATTAAATCCAATAAAACATCATCCCAATATGCAATCAATATACAGATTATTAATGAAATATTTTAAATTGTCCTTTTTGTGATAAATCTTTGAAATCTGATTGTACTCTACACTTACAGTCACATGTTAATTCAGACTAGCCACATTTCACAATTGTTTAAGAGCCAAATCTGGCTAGTGGCCACCATACTGGACAGGGCAGCTACAGAATCATGGTCTAAAGGGTCAGTAAAAGAAATGGCTCACAAGGGCATTATAGCTACTAAGTAAATGAAAGATTTTCATTTTTCTAATAAGAAAACTGAAACTAAGGTCATATCTTTATAATTGTTGCTGAATCATATTAGACAATGAAACAATATATATCAGTTCTTATGGTATACACACACACACACCCCTCATATAGCAGGGCCTCATAAATACTTGCTTGATAACTTTGAAAATTTTTCAGGAAATCTATACTCGAGTGAAATAACTTAATTTTGTCCACTTAGCTTTACTGTATTGTTATATAGTTGCAGGACGGGAACCTATGCTCATCAGCTAATAAAATCACAGAAAACTCCTAATTGTCAGGGTAACTAGTCAGATAAGCCAGCCAAGAACACTGGTCATATCTCATTTAGAAATCTAACATCCGAAGTTTTACTGTCCAATAACATAAGTGTAATGTTGGGCAATCTGTATGGGGATGATGTCAGAGAAAACTGAACATTATGATTACAAATCTAAATGTTCAGACCTTCAATAATAAAAATATACACTATATGCCATGCCTAAAATGTGGAGCGTAAATGGTCTTTGATTCAAATTGCTGATTAAATATGGGCTTTCAAAATATAAACCAAATAGGCTTAGGACTTAGAAATCTTAGAGAATTGCTAAACTAAGCCTTAAATTCATGTTCTAGGAAACTAAGACTTAAAAACCTTGTGGAGCCTATTTGCCATGAATTTTAAAAGCTAAGCTGGCTTCCTATCAACAGTTAACTATTTGGGGCGCCTGGGTAGCTCAGTCAATTAAACGTCTGCCTTCAGCTCAGGTCATAATATCAGGGTCCTGGGATCGAGCACCCACCTTGGGCTCCCTGCTCAGCGGAGAGTCTGCTTCTCTCTCTGCCCTCCCCTGACTCATGCTCTCACTCTCTCTGTCTCTAATAAATGAATGAAATCTTAATTTTTTTATTTTTATTTTTTTAAAGATTATTTATTTGACAGAGAGAGAGCATGAGTAGGCAGAGCAGCAGGCAGAGGGCGAGGGAGAAGCAGGCTCTCCGTTGAGCAGGGAACCCGATGCAGGACTCAATCCCAGGACCTTGGGATCATGACCTGAGCCATAGGCAGTTGCTTAACCAACTTAGCCACCCAGGCGCCCCATGAATGAAATCTTAAAAAAAAAAAAAAAAAGTTAACTACTCAGTATTCAAAATATTCAATAATGTAATAAATTTTTATACAAATTTATTCAACAAATCTGTTCATATTTAATAATGCAATAAATAACGTAATTACAATTAGAAGGCAAACCACCTATTTATGTTTGAGAACCACAGTGGTTTTCTTCTTTTCCTTTCCTTCCTTCTTCAGTTCCCTTCCTCCCTCCCTGACCCGTTTAGATTATTTACAACATAGCTCTTCACTCATGTATTATCAGCAGTTGATTACAGAACATAAACTCAATCTCTGTATTAGAAATTACATTATACCAAATCTGAGAAGAAAAATAAAGCACATATAGAAATAGATATCTAAGCTAAAAAAGTATTAACCACTACTACAGGAATGTTTATGCAGTTCCTTCCTCTTCCCCTTTTTTGACAAGCCATCCAGGGAAATAAGGTTAAAGATAATTTTATTAACATATTTTAAAGAACTGGAGGATGCAAAGGAATAAATGACAATGCTGTCTTCTATTACTCTACCAAAACCAGTGAAAGACTATGTCTTTAAGGGTATCTTATGAATCATTTACAATACATATTAGATCATCTATCATTGCACAAGTCCATATAAATTGTTCTCCCACAATAAAGGTAGCTCTACAGTTTTATGTTACAATATTAAAATGAGTATTATTACTGTTCACTAAAAATAATTTACAAAAGGTCCCTTATCCTAAACTTTCATATCTCTGAAATATAGGCTGACTTTTAACTCTTCTCATAATAAATAACTCCTAACTTGTGAAGCATCCTGCACTGTCCCTTCTAGAAATCTAATTCATTTCTTAATTTTCCATAATTATGAGGTTTCCAAACACTGGGTCAAAGTGCAGCCCACCAACTCTTTAGGCCCTGCTAGATTCTTTAATGATGACGTGTCATATGAAAGAAGTTTCCAGCACAAGTATATTTCTTCACAGTAGGTAAGAGCAGAGCTATAAATCTAAAGAGATACTGCACTTCCATTACCCTTTAGCAGCCAAGAGCAGGAAGCAATAAAATTTGCTTGTCATGGTTATTATGTCTCACAAATGAGAAAAAAAATGTTACCAAAAAAAGTTACCAAGGTGATATTCCATTATCAGGTACAAGTTATATAGTAAGGCTGAGGAAAGAACCTAAAATAACCACTGAATACAATCATTGTGACATGTTACAGTGTATTCTAATTTCAGATTTACTTGTATGTTTCCCCAACTAGGCTCTCTCTCTGTTCTAGGCAACAAATGCCCAGTACATAGTAGACACTCAGTATTTACTGAATAAATGGGGCCTTTGCTTAGATTTTGGTGAATTATCATTTACCTAGAGGATGAATGTGAGTGCGTGTGTATGTGTGTGTGTGTTTGTCAAAAGAAACAGATAGAGAATGAGAATGAAAATCATTTACTTGCTTTTGTTTTTAACCACCACAATATGGTTATGGAATAGTTTAGCTTTGCTTGTTGTTTGAACTTTATTTGAATGGAATCATGCTGTATTTATTCTTTTGTGCTTATCTTCCTATACTCAGTATTATGTTTGTGAAATTCTGTTTCATGCTTCCCACTGTATAATATTCATTGTATGAACACATCTCAATTATTTACCTATTCTTTTGATGAGTGTTACTTGGGTTGTTCCTACGTTTGGGCTATTCTTTACTATACATAGATGGTACTGTTGGTTCACTGAATTTGTGTAACTTCTACTTTCGTCATAAAGACGAACAGGTTGCCAAGGCCAGTGTACACTCCCTCCATCTGCATGTGAGTTCATTGCTTCACCCCTCCGCTACTGCTTGGGTATTATTTGATTTTTAAGGTTTAGGCAATCTGATAGGTAAGGTTGAACCTATTCCAAAATACACAAAAGCAGGTCTTTGCTGACAGTCTGCTTTTCTGAACATTCAATAAGGCAATTAATTTGGTATTGAGTGTAGACAGCATTACATGAAAAAACACACACACACACACAAAACCCAACAATCCAACCCACAACAGTTCAAAGAGAAAAGGAGAGAAAGAAACATAAATGCAGAGAAACACAGACGTCAGAATTTGAAAGAAAAAATGGAAAGACAGCTAAGTAGCTAGTAGAAAGTACCTATCAAGCCTATATAATAATATGACTAGGTACAATTCTGGAACTTTCTTATATTCATGCTTTATAGAAAAGCCTTATAATAACCTCAGCAAATACATTGTTTTTTTTTATATAATTTCTGTCATCATCAGATTTCCAAAAGAGAAGATAGAAAGCTTAACTCTTTGAAAACACTAAGGAGAAAAACTGAGGAGGCAGCATGGTACTGGATGTAAAAGCAGCCAATAATCTACAAAAGCAAGTTTTACCTAAAAGTAGTTTTTTACAATTTAAAAGTCCATGACTTTCATGCTGCTCCCACTTTTGTGATTTAAACATTTCGTATTTCTCAGAAATTCAGTATGAAATACAAATTTAAAAATCTATTTCAAAAATTATGCCTACATGCATAATGGATACTAGTTTCCTCCTACCCTCTAATTATTTGTATAACAACAGGATTTTGGTTCCTTATACATCCATCTGCTCAAACTTACTTCCTAGCAAAAGTAATAATCCTTTGTGACATCAGGAATGGTTACTGTGGTGATGACTAGGATGCACACCTGAGAAAATGATGACCTGAGAGCAATAAACGGTAGTG